TGAGGGAGTCGGTTCATAGCATTTCACGATCGGATACTTCAGTGCTTTTAAAATTGTCTCATCATGAATCACACCTCATGTCAACGTCTGATTTTCTGTCTTGGGATGATGACATAGGTTTAGAACACTTGCTTGGAGAGTTTACAGAATATAGTGAGTCGGACATTTCAGACGACGATTTTGACAGGGATGTGTAGTGGACTAGGCTAGTACTCAATATATTAAATTGTACACCCCTGGAATCGCACAGATTCTGCAGTCAAATAAGTCGGCATACAGTTCACAGTATCATTAAATAAAAATTACAAAAATAAACAATTGCTTGTTTGTATTACATGCCATTTTCATTAGACCCTTTCCCACAAGTGTCTCAGATTGGGTTCCGTCCCAGATTGAGTACCAGACCAATTTCCAGACCAATAAAAACAAAAACACTGACATACCACAAATAACACCTGCAAAAATTACTCATCTTTTTAATTTATTGATATCCCACGTTTGAAAAATGGTGGAATATAGGCCTTTTGGAAGAAAATTTGATCTAAACAGCGAGATGACAACATGGTTTCACTGAAAATGACGCCATTTCCGACGCAAAGTGATACAAACATTAGCTCTTTTTGAAACAAAAATAACACAAATTAATAATAACTCACCGCCATAAGACTACTCCCTTACAAAATAAAATTTATTAAGCTTTACATTGCCGTTAATTTTGAAAAGCTTGATTAAATACTTTGGAAGAAATTTGAAACACAAAATGGGTGGCAATGAGATTTTTTCCACCCAAAATTTTCAAATGTTTACAAAAAAAGTTTGTAACATAGCAAGCAGTTCCTGACCAATAAAAACAAAAATACTGACGGAGGCCAAATAAACTCGGGTCTACACAATACAAAAATTACTCATCTTTTTTATTGATATCCATTGTTTGAAAAATGGTGGAATTTATTGGAAGAAAATTTGATCTAAACAGCGAGATGACAACATGGTTTCACTGAAAATGACGCCATTTTGGACGCAAAGTGATACAAACATTAGCTCTTTTTGAAACAAAAATAACACAAATTAATAATAACTCACCGCCATAAGATTACCCCCTTACAAAATTAAATTAATTAGCTTTCCATGGATATACTTCATTCTAATGTAAACCATTCCGTTGAGGAGGAATTAGAAACACAACTTTGTCGGGTTAGCAAAACAAAATCTCGAATCTCAAAAAACAACATACGGTTGACGTTGAAAAATGTCACAGAAAATGAAAAATTATGGCAATAAATCAATACATAGGGTCCTGTGACACCACAGTGTATACTGTTGTGTACTTAGGGTCCTGTGACACCACAGTGTATACTGTTGTGTACTTAGGGTCCTGTGACACCACAGTGTATACTGTTGTGTACTTAGGGTCCTGTGACACCACAGTGTATACTGTTGTGTACTTAGGGTCCTGTGACACCACAGTGTATACTGTTGTGTACTTAGGGTCCTGTGACACCACAGTGTATACTGTTGTGTACTTAGGGTCCTGTGACACCACAGTGTATACTGTTGTGTACTTAGGGTCCTGTGACACCACAGTGTATACTGTTGTGTACTTAGGGTCCTGTGACACCACAGTGTATACTGTTGTGTACTTAGGGTCCTGTGACACCACAGTGTATACTGTTGTGTACTTAGGGTCCTGTGACACCACAGTGTATACTGTTGTGTACTTAGGGTCCTGTGACACCACAGTGTATACTGTTGTGTACTACTTCCACCAGATAAACAACCTACAACAATAAGATAAACACAAAAATGTAGTAATACTCAGTATTATTGGTTTGTTTACACACCAATTTCACGCTTCAACCACGCTCTGATGAAGCCATAACTTGTCTGCTAGGGGGCGCTCGTATCATAGAACACCCATCAATGGAGATAAGCCAACCTCACTCGGAACATATTCACTAAGGCAAAGAGGAAGTTGCGTATCCCTCCACTACACATCCCTGCACAGACACAGACATCTCTTGTGCTACCCAGTGCCAGACTTTTCTGTCTCATTCAGTCTGTCTGGCATTCCTGATGTCAAAATGAAATGGACGTCATTTTGTATTGTTACACCCAACAATAGACGACGATAACGGCACCAACAACAACCCGGGCTCGCCTCGGGGTTTTGATAGAGGTCCATGTTATGGTTACCTTGTGCTTTTGGTTACCTCTTGGTTCATGTTTGTGTCCTCCTTTTTGAATTCAGTATTGTTTCTTATACAAAAACTACACCAATGGATATTAATACTTGATCACCACTTCTCAGCTGTTGAATAATTTAAACAAGTTTGAAATGTATGGAGTGTGTTATCTTTTTTGGTGTCAAATGTTACATCTGTAAAACAATTTGTTGGTATTTACACAGATTGAAGTGTCCTGATAACTATTCAATGAATAAAAAACACATGTTTCTATTTAACAAAAAAATACACCATATTTTAACCATATCTCTGATGAAAATGGCAATTTCTGTAAAATATTGTAGAAGTTGGTGTCCTGTTACATCTTGATAAAAAACAGTTTTTGTTCATATTATATTAATATTTTGGAACTTGCATTATACTTTTATAGACAAAACTAGTTATTTTATTATTAAAACACCACTAAAAATCAGTTAACAAACAAAGTTTGGGTAATATAGCAAGATTATTGTTTGATGTCTTCGTTACATCCTGAAAAAAATAAAAATCAGAAAATCTTTAATAAATCATTAAATCTTTAGAAAAATATTTTGCCCTTCAAATGTGTAAGTTATATCATTATTCTCTTGATGTCAGCATAAAGCAAAATGGTCATGCATGCACTATGAAAAGTGGACACCAAACAATTTGAGATGTAACCAAAAGAATAGCACATTTGTAGAGTGTACAAAATCACGTCCCCAACTGCCGCGAAACGTGGAAGTAAAGGATGGTAAAATAATGATCCCCATGCGCATATGACGTCACATTACTGAATATATCGCAGATTGCATACATCTTTTAGGTTTAGGTTAGTTGTTCATGTTTCACACCTATAGGACAGGTAGGCTAGTTCACATCCCCATAGGTAAATTTTCCCGCAGGGCAGAGTTCGATGAGCAGGGTGTCGATCGTAGGGAACAATAAAAAGCTAGTCTAATGAGGGTGAGTCTAATTGGAAAGGAGATAAGAGGTTATCAATTTGGGAGAACTTTATTTTCTAGTCGTAAAATAACTCTCAATGAGTAAAGGTCCGATTCATGCGTAACGGTAAACTGATGATGCATAACGGCTCAAAATTCATGCATAACCGTTCTACCGTAGCGCTAAAACAGCCTGGGGAGAACACTGCTGGCATAGGAGAATTTGATGATGCATAACGGCTCAAAATGGGGTCTTCCCCAAACACCAACTCTGCTTAAAATCACATGTTTACATAGGTGGCCAGTTGTGATGATAGTGAGTTATAGTCTATTTCAGAAATGGTGTACAGGTAAATTGCACAGATAAATCAACTTCTAATCAGATAATCAAAAACTGCTAATAATTGCAAAATGATAATTAATATTTAGAACAGTTTTCAGAATCAGTCATATATTTATTATTATATTAGTTAAACTTGTATTTTCAGATTTGTGTGAATTCTCTTATAATTATTGTCATATATTAGTTAAACTTGTACTTATTTTCAGATTTCTATGAATTGTGTTTAACTTGTGTGACTTCAGTTTGATATTATTATCTGTTATGTTATAATACAAACACTTCCTCTATAATAACTTGTGTGACTTCAGTTTGATATTATTATCTGTTATGTTATTAGCTATCATGGTAAAAAAAACAATAAAAACTTTAGGGCATAAACATAAATAACAAAGAACACGGGCTCTCACAGTTCGTTGATGATACATCCGTTATTTTAAATGGCACAAAATCTTGATATGATATAAATATGCTAAAATATCAGGGTTAAAAGTAAATACTGAAAAACCTAAAATGGGGAACCAACCAAATTTACCTTACTTGGGAATGGATTTTTGGAATTCAGAAGTTTTGCCAAAAAGTATAATATCTTCCTTTATTTCGAATGTTTGGTCAGTTTTTAAGTAGATCCATCTACGTATGTATTGCCAGAAGTTATTTGTTATTTGACACTGTTAAAAAAGATGTTCTATAGTTTGTTTGCTTTCTTGGCATAAATTACATAAATCACATTGTTTGATTCCAATTATTTTCAAATAATGATCAAGTGGAAGTATTCTTGAAAGAAGCCTGAAAGTGACCCATTGAATGCTAGTTTTAAGTCCATATATAAAGTTTTCTAAATCAATAATTTTGAGTCCACCCTCACTATAGTCTTGAACAATTATTGAGCGTTTTATTCTATTAATTGGTGATTGCCAGTTCAATGATTGAATTATGTCTTTATTTGGAGTAGGGAGAGATATAAACAGGCGATTCATTTTTGCAATGATAAGAGATTTAAGAACAGTTATTCTCCTTATAGGTGTTAAAATTCTTCTTGACCATTGATGTAACTTGCCATCTATAATACTAATAATTTTGTTGAAATTTACAGTAACCATGTCTTCTTAATTGACAGAAATCAATCCCATATTCAAACAACAATATCTTAAGAACTATTTGGGCTAGATTCATAATACTTGGGTATGTTATATAGATGAATCGGTATTTTTATTACAGTAATAAGGTCAAAGGTCAACTTTAGGTGTTAGTTGGGGGTCAAAAATCAACATGGGTCAAAAGCTTTAACAATCTTCTTCTCAAGTTCCATAAGGCCCAGGGTCATGTTTTTTGGCCAGTAGGTACCTGGGATGGAGAGCTATGAAGTGCTATATATTACATAGGTGAAATGTCCTTTTTATACACAGTATTAATAATCCCACAGTATAGTGTCGCATTTTAATATAGAAATATGGTCAAATATCAATAATAGCTTAACTTAACTATCCCTTTTATATAACAATATATTTTTAGGCTGAGACCTTTGGCAACTCATTTGTAATGGACACGTATGTGAGTGAAGATGTCAAGAAGAAAATCAAACAGGCAGTAAGTAAAATTACTTTGATCTGTAATTGTGATCATCATGCATATGAAAGTTAATTTGCCTTGGCGTGGCATCTGTCATCAGGCATTATTTTCTTACTTTAAGCAACTTCTTCTGAGCAACCAATAGGCCTAAGGTGATTATATTTGTTCAGGTGTATGCTGGTATGAAGGGCTATGACCTTGACTCATATTCAAAATCAGAAGGGTAAAATTTGTACATTTTTTCTGAATATCAAAAATGGCTAGGAAATCAATCTTTGGCCATTAGCTTGCTGGGGATGAAAGGTTATCAAGTTTGTTCAAATAATTGATCTTCGGTCATATTCAAGGTCAAAGGGGCCAATTGTCTTAAAAATCTTAAACATCACTTCTGAATAACAAAAAGGCATAGGGGTGATGAAGTAAGATATCATAATTATGTTTAGGCCAAAAAAAAAATATAGTCTGTTAAGGGTTGCATTGGCAAAAAAACTAGGGTAGGTAGGACTGATTTTTAGGTCACCTGAGCTTTGCTCAAGTGACCTATTCGTCGTCGTCGTCGTCCGGCGTGCGTTGTGCGTAAACTTTTTACATTTTAAACTTCTTCTCAAGAACCAGTGGATGGATTTTTTTCAAACTTGGTCGGAATCATCCTTGGTAGATGAGGCTACAAAATTGTAAAATTGGGATTCCTACCCCAACCCCTGGGGCCAGGGCGGGGGCCCCAAAGGAAAATTAACCAATATTTTAAAATACTTCTTCTTCAGACTCAGAGGTACTACACTCATTTTCTCTGCATGGAAAGAAAGATCATCAGGGGCTTTATTTAAATTGTAAATTTCAGGACCCCCGAGCTATCCGTTCTCCCTTAGGGAGGGGGTAAAGTTTACTATAGTTTATATAGGGAAATAACACTTTTGGGTATATTTTGACAACTTTCTGTAGGAAATTATTTTTACTTGGTGAGAATTATCCTTGGAGGAAGATGGTTTCAAATTGTAAAATTGAGATTCCTACCCCGACCCCTGGGGC